GAGGCGGGCTCGGCGCGCGAGCCGCTCGGCGGGACACTTGGCGGCGGCTCCGACTCAACTTCTCCGCCGCAGGTCTGCCGGGCTCCCCGCACCGCCGCATGCAAATGACCTGCGAGGAGAAACACCAATCGGCGACGGCGATGGTGATAGTCTCCGCCAGTGAAATCCGAGCTGGGCGGGCAGTATGCAAATAATACCGGTCTGGGAGGGGGGAAGGAGGGGCGAGGACAGCCGGGCAGCGGCGGCGGCTCGCCGGTACCGGGCGACAGCGAGCCCCCTTCGCTGGCCCGAGGGGGCCGCCCGCCCTGGCCAGCTCTCGGGAGCCACGCAGGACCTAAGCCGGGCTCTGCGGCCGTTCCCTGGGGCGAGGGTCGCGCACGCCTGGCCCCGAGAAGGGTCACCGCCTGAGCGGTGGGGCTTCGGGGGGATTGCGCGGGCGACCGCGAAGCCGGTGCGCCGGGCCCTGAAAGGAGCCTTTGTGCGGCGGTTTACACGGCCCTGACCTTGAACCGTGAGCTGGGTACGAAACGGAGGTGGCTGGTTTGGTTCTCCCCTCCCTCCCTCCGCCCCAAAAAAAAAACCATCGTCCTGCCCGGGCCGAGGGCGCCCTCCCTCGGCTGCACCGCGCCGGGACAGCGGGGACGGGGGAAGGCAGGAGAGACCTTATTCCCCCCCGTCAGGTTCTCAAGTTCTTGCAATTCAACTTTTAAATGCAGTTTGCACATCCTTCTACAAGAAGCAAACCGCCCCCCCCCCCCGGCCAAAGATCACAAGCCCGCTACTATTTACGGCCACCCCAGCCTGAAACCGTCCAGGCAGACGCACAGGGCACGGAGCCCTAAATGAGGTTAGCGGTAGGTGACAAGGATCCGACACGGAGAGCCAAGGTAGCCAAGAGTCCATTTTGTTCATGCTCAGCCTCATTTCGCTCCTCCACACAGGAAACTGCAGCGACTGCGAGGATCTGTCATTTAGCGTATTTCAAGCATTGATTTTTCAACAGCTCTCTTATTTGCAAACATGGCATTTCACTTCTGCTCTCCAAGATACACAGAAGCTCTGTGCTCGTTTTCTCTCTCAAATGATGTTTGATATTTAAAACCTGTGGAAGGAAACTTCAGTCAGGAATTTTGGCACCCACTACCCTTAAACCACTGCTGCAACGACTTGCACGAAGCAGCGGTTCTCTCTGCCTTCCATAGATGGCATCCTGCGCTTAGGACAGCCTGCGCGGTATTTCTTGTGCTCTTGCAGAGTATATGTATTTTCTTCAGTCTTCAACTAAATAGATTCCAATCAAAAATACTGAGCGTCATGTCCTGTTGTCTTTTAGTTGTAGAAGGCCAAAAGGTTTTGCTTGAAGTGGTCTAAATTCGTAACAGCAGGCTGACCGCAACAACACCCGCTTCACAAGGCAACAATGAACACATCAAAGGTTTTGGCTTTTTCTTTTTTGTTAAAACAGTGCCTAGAAAGGTGCGTTTAAAAACTCTAGAGGTAAATATTTCACAGTCACACGCATGGAGCAGCAATCTATTCTCAGTGTGCAATGCCTTCCCTTAATGACTACTGGCAATAGAGGAAGCAAAAGGGTGTATTTGCATACAATCTGACCTAGAGCGCAGTGCTTTCATCTGAAGGCTATAGCTAATGAATACTTTGAGCAGATGTTGCTATTGACCACCTATTTGCATGGCTGGCAATTCACTGTTCCACAGATTTTTCTCCTATCTGCAATACAAGAGATTTCCTACTTCAAAAGCATAATGCCTTACGGGATCTTGTTTTCTATTTTTGTACTGTGGTATACATGTTGCTTAGTGTCAATGAAAAAATATATCAGAACAACTATTAGTTATGAATGAAATACTTGAAAAACCCTATCTCTTACTTATGCACTTCTGCTCACAGGATCAAGCAGCTTCTGTTTATACTAAAAGACAAAGTAACAGGGCATACTGACTTCTTACTAGGTTGGCCCTCAGAACTGCTTTTTAAAAATATTACATCTTCTTTTATCTTTCTTAGATCTAAGCCCAATTATAATACAGGTCTTTGCTTTTTCATAGCTTCTCCCCATGAAAGCATGAACATGAAGCATAAGTTGTCCAATAAAACCAGACATAATTCTCTCAAAGTCATTCCAATTTATGTGAAAATCATAACACCTCAGCACTTTGTTTGTGCTCCACTGACAGTTCAGAAATTACCTCACTCGATTGTTATTTTACAGATCAAAGCTAACTCTGCTATTTTGTCATATTTTTCAGGCTTGAGCACTATTTTCAAGAGATTCAAGCCCAGCAAAGACAACACAGCTGACAGTATACATGGTAAATAGGTGCCTGAATGTAAGACAAGGCATTACTGATTCAAAGTACACAGTTTTAAGTCTCATGCATTCAGCGCATTCAGTCAATACACTTCTTTTTAAGACATTATCTTTCCACTCTTACATCTGTATTTAATCCTATATATTAGGTACCATGGACTACTGTAGACTTAACTGACTTTTTGGTAGGTTACCATGTGGTGTCCATCCCTCCTGTCCCTACACGTCCCCACTGCCTCCTCAAAACAAGGGTACTACGAACTATGTCAGTTCCTTGTCCATCTCTCTAAGATCATGCACAGAAACATCTCCTCCTCTGCCCCCCCCACCTCGTGTCTTCACACTGAATTTGATATGAATGGGAAGCATGAAGTAAGACCAAACTCTATCACCTCTTTCTCACTAAAAAGCCTTTATGCTTTGTTTTTTGATGCATCTTTGCAAAAGCCTTCTCTAAAATTCATCCTGTTCTGTCTACATCTTGGGATTCATTTCAATCATAAAAGCAAGCATAAATTGCCACTGAGAATCGCTACATAGCTGGCCAATGGGAAGTTGACATTATTTGGGAAAAATGCAGCTGTGCAAGTGCTTGACATATTTCTACAAATCATTTCTATTCTTTATCACACTTCTCCAATACTCCCACACAGTTTGTTATTCCTACCATTCCAAGTAATTTAACAATACAAAAATCATCTGGCTTAACAGCAGCATCTGCTTTCTTACTTCCCTCATGCAGTGTTTTCTCATTGTTAGGAGTTACACTCTTTTCATTTTTAGAATCTCACATGTAGCATTTCCTTATATGATAACACTTTGCCTGATAAATCCTTCTCTCCTTCTGCTGCAAAGGTATCACCAGCCTTTTCCAAAGGCAAACAAACAGTGGAACACAGAAGCCTCCAAGCATGGAAAGGATACTCCTTACCAAAGATTCAAACCTCAAGCTCCAACACACCCAACAAAAATAAAACCAAAACTGGGATGGGAGGAAGAGGACCAGACCAATAAGGGTTCTCTACTAGAACTTTTCAATTTCACATGCATTACTTATCCGTGACAGAACAAGTTCAGCACATGCTCTGTGCTCTTCAATGTTAATTCACTGTCTGTATCAGAGACTAGAAATAGCCAGTTTTGTAACAGATTTCCAAGGACAGCTAAAAGAATCATGAGAGTGGAAAGAAATCATCAATTTATTTTCTTTATATGAAGAAAAAGAAAATAGTTCACCTTCAGACCGGACGCATATGTTTGTAACGAAGCTATAGGCTATGTTATGAAAACTAAGGTACATTTCCAGAAACCAATTACAATACTGGGCTAACACAAAATTGCCAACCCAAATAATCAAGATTACAAGTCATACATCAAAATGCCGATAAAAACAACTTAAAATTCCTTGATTTATAAGGCACAATAAGCATTGGGCTCTTTTTGCATATGTTTCAACTGGGAATCCCATTAGGGATCGCAAATTATTTTCAATAAAGTCAACTTTCTATAGACAGATTTTCTTATAATCATTTATCTCTAAAATTAAAGTGTAAAGAAAGTAGAAGATGTCAGAAGACTTTCAGAAACGTAGGAAAAACAGATAAAGGATATAACAGTGGAAGTCCCATAATAAACAAAAATATAGCACTCTAGAAGCCTCATTTTCCTTCATGTAAAGAGTTCAGATACAAGTGTTATTCTAGCTCTGATAAAATTATGTCAAAGTCTGTAGTGTAAAACTCTAATTTTAAAGTACATCATAATTAATTAGAATTAAAAAGCATCAGCATTCTCTGATACACAAATAGCAACTAGGCAAATAACATCAAACCCATTTAAAATTAACCAATCACTTGTTTGGTTTTTTTTTTTAAAGGAAACATTACAGTCAAAGCAAATGTAAAACCCTATAAACTTAACCTGTATCAAAGACTCCAAATCAATAGCTGGATTAATATTACTTGTTCAAACCACAAAGTTCAGTGTACTCCTAGAAAATAACACTCACATATATGCTATTGAGCAGTATAAACATCCCTTACCACTAGGTCCCATATGAGCTTATTTTACTCACTTGAAGTAAAGAAGACTCAAGCTTTTCCACCAGGAAAAAGAAGAAAAAAATAACACGACTCTCCTCAGCAGAGCACTCAAAAAAAAAAAAGCTGCTTGAATGGTGCAACCAAAATCCTAAAGTAGTACCTACAGAGCACCTGGCAGAGGAGCCACTTCCAAGCCTTATTTACTGCAGCTGTGGGTGGGGGTGTTAATTAGCCAAAGGGCTC